TCTGTCCTCTGGGTAGATCTTTTAAAAATCCTGCAGTCACCCTGTATGGTCTTTAATTTACAGTCAGAATGAACTAGTGATTGTCAAATACTGTCTTAAATTAGAAAAATATCTGACTATCATGTTTACATCCTCAAAACCTGAACTAAAAAGACAATTTCAAGTCCAAATAACATATAATTTCTGGTTTTTATTAGCTGTTGGAAAACATGACTGAAGTTGTTAGAAAAGGGATACAGGAAGCACAACTTCAGCTTCAGAAAGCAAATGAAGAACGACTTTTGGAAGAGGTAAGGCTGTAAAATAATGAGTTATCTAGCTGACCTGAAATAACTTGTCACAACATAGGTAGCTTGCTCACCAGCCAGTGTTTGTTTGATTGTGTACTTTGCAGGGACTGCTACGACAAATACCTGTAGTGGGCTCTGTGCTGAACTGGTTTTCTCCATTCCAAGCCTCATCAAAAGGAAGAACATTTAATTTAACAGCAGGTAGGACTCGGTGCATCTGCAGCCATTTTATGCTGTTGTTCAAACTGACATAATCCACCCTCAGGATGTTAAAGAACATGCTCTTCGCTATTTCTGTAACAGTCTTCTAACCTCACTTGTACTATTTACGTTTTGTTCTTGCATGTTGAGTCACATCTAAAAAAGCTGTATTAGCCATTGGTATTTATTCATAGAGGACTCCTTTCTGTGACTTTTGGCTACACATGCTGTAAACGTGTGGCCTTTATGCTGTGTTTATAAATACGTATAAGCTAGAACTTGATGTCTGTCTGAAACCCTGGTGTGAGATACCGTCTGGCTATTGGCACACTGATAAATTACCAGTTTGCATGTTACCTACTGGAGTGTCTGACAAGGACGGGCTACAACTAGCTGAGGATGAGCATGGACATGGCTTTGTGGGAGACAGTAATGAATGGAATATTGCAATGTAAAAGACTTAGCTCACTCATGTATTTGTAATTCATGTCTGGTGGTGTGAAAAAACCTGTCTATAGCTTTTACATCATTAAGATTGATGTACTAACATAATACTTTCTGAAATTATACATTTTTCACTGTAAAAATTGTGGCAGTCTTAAGAACGTTCCTAAACTCAGCAAAGTGTCTGTCAGACCTGGAACATCTGCCCAGCTGTCTGTGCGTCCCTGTCACCAGCAAGGAAGGCTTTCTGCTCTATTTGGGATCTTTCGTTCTGATTCTTGATGCACCAGCTGGAAGGTTTTTGTGGCAGAGAACAGACAGGTTTCCTTGGGAATGCTGATCCCTCTCATAGCTCCATTCCCTGCCCAAGTACACTGCTCAGTGGCTTGCAGCTGGGAATAGGGCAAGTGCCCAGTGCAGAAGGGTAAAAGGACTACAGTGTGTAGCAGTGTTGTGAAGTGAGTGTGAGGGGAAACCTTATCATCTCTGAAGTGTTGGCACTTGTCCCCAGGTACTCAGAAATGGATTACCATCAAGTAGCAGTTTCAATTCAACCTAACGTGCAGTTTCAGAAATGTGCAGTAAAAAAGAGATTGTTACATACCTTATAAATACAGATGTTTGTTCACTGATTATACAGTTTGTGCTGTATTCAACTTGATACTTTTTTTTAACCTGCAGGCTCTCTACAATCCACAGAATCTACGTATGTGTCAAAAGCCCAAGGAACAGGCACTACTCCACCACCAACCCCCACTTCCAGCCTTGCAAAGCAAAGACTTCCTGGTAAGTTTCTGTATCTTGGTTTTATTTCTAAAACTTGCTGAAACATCTGCCATCTGAGCTGCATTTTTCCATCTTTCATAATATCTGGAACCAGAGCTCATCTTCTAGTGCCTTAAGTCCACCTTAAAAACCTTAATTTAAACATGGCACAGAACACCAGTCCCATCTGGTTTCTCCCCAGTAATTATTCTGGGAGCTACAGGAAGTTATTATCCCATTAACTGACAACTGCCTATGAAGTCTGCAATATTCCTCTGGAATGTTATGAGGTTATTGAGTTTTAAAAATTAGCAGGTGAACAAGCTGAAGTTTTATTTTAAATAAAAGCATAAATAATGTGTAATCATGTATCTGAGCAACTACATTTCTGTTGCTACCTAATATTTTGTGGACAAAGTCATCCTGAGGTAAAGATCTATTAAATCAATGCCATTTTCTGTGTAGTTGTATTAGTAATTAATGCTGATTCGACTGGCAGCAAAACCATAGTTTTAACTCACCTTTTGAGTTGGTTGGCTTCCAGCCCGCAATTTGCAGTGCAAGTTTTCACCCTAGAATGACTCCGCTGTGCATGTGGACAGCTTGGTTTTTCAGATGAATTTTAGCAGTCCTTGTTTACGCAGGATAAAATAAGACATATCTGTAACTATGCTTAGGGTCCAAGTTAGCACCCAAATAAAATCTATTTCTTTGCAGTTGCAAAATTCAGATACTTTCTTTGAAACTTTACTTGTGAATACCACACTCTGTATTTGCTGCCTTCATTGGTACTTCATTGTATTCTTCGCTCTACAGGTCAGAAAATTTTTAAAAGGTCTCTGAGAAGTTCTGATGCATTCAGTGAGACCAGTTCAGTCAGCCACTGTGATGACCTGGAGAAGATGGATCAGAGACCCTCAGCTCTGTCCCCTGGCCAAGAGCAAGGACCTTTTGAGACAGAAAAAACAGTGGAGCAGAAGGAGGTGGCACAGGCAACAAAGACAGACGCTGAGGATGTTCCAAGTGAGAAATCGCCAAATGACTGCGGGGAGGTAGAGGAACAAGAAAGTCAAAGGTAAAATCCAGAGTGTGGATTTCGGACTTTGCCGAGGCAGCCCGAGCCCTGGGGGGCAGGGCACTCGTGATGCATTCAAATGTGACCGGTGCCATGCGCTAGTACAGTAATAACTACTGTAACTTATTAACTGGGACTTTGCACAAACATCAGTTCCTCCCTCTATGGGACAGAGATTTGTCTTATCGTACGCTTGTTACGGTTGCTTTACTCCTCTCCATGTCCGTGTCACCAAAGTACTAGTGAAATTCATTAACTGTCATGAACACTTGCAAAAACAGTTGGCAGTTATCCTTCCTGTAGGAATGGTCATAGCTGCTAACTAACCAATCAGCCGTCCACAAGATTAAGAATACACTTCAACCCAATAATTACAAAATGATCTTATTTTATGTTAATACACTTAAAAAAAAAATCAACTGCTAATTATTCAACTTTTAAATATTTAAAATTCAGTTTATCCTTTCCTGCAGAACACCTACTGCACTCACACTAGCTCTGTTTTCCTGTTTTGTTTTTTTTCCCCCTTACAAAGCGCACTGCCCCAGGCTGTGGTGCGGTGAGCGTTGGGGATGGACACCTGTGTGTATATATTGGAGTCTCTGAACAGAACTTTGCCATCAACTGTTTTTTCCTGCCGTTGTTTGGCTTGACCCATTCAGCTAAGGCCCCAGGCACAGCGGGGACTAAGTTAATGAGTTTTAAGCCTTCTAGAAAGAAATAGTGCCTCTGCATGCCCGAGCGGCTCCCTGCTTCTGCCGCTGGAAACAACCCCCAACACCCCATTACTTTCCTTTGCACGCCATTGACAAACCAAATCCTATTGGACACATTTAGGTAGTGTAAGGCAGTTCTTTCTGTTGTGTATTTTTAAAGATAGTTGTAGTAAAACTTGCAAAGCCAATATGTTTGTGATGGTTTCAACACTTTTTTTTTTTTTTTTAATAACAGTAACTTACTTACCTAGGGTAGGAACTGTCCAGACTCAGAGAAATTACACAGGTCATTTACACTACAGCACAACTTCATAGTGTCGAGTACTACTTAATGCACAAGTGAAGCTTTGGCTAAATCAAAAGCTGAGGTGTAGAAGTTTCCCAGCCCCTGCCCTGAATTAACTTAATCATTTTGCTGCAAATTTTCAGAGCCTCTTGTGGAAAGGAGCTGTTTAGAAAAGGCTGCTTCCCCTAAGGTATCTGATTCTGGGGAAAACCAGCCCACTGCTACAAAACTGGATACAAGTACTGCAGTTTGCTTTGTTTGGTTTCTGTTTGGGGTTTTTTCCTCCCCCTATAAAGTATAAATTAACACCATCACAGCTACAGTGGTAGCAGGACTTACTTTGAAAATCTGAAAAATTGGGGGTTTTGGAACTGTACTGTCATCTGATTTGACTTTCTGCTTCTACATCCCGTGGGGCTGGGATGCCAGGAACAAGGTTAATTTTGCTGTTGGGGTAATTTATGTAAATCAGAGTGCAATTTTTCTAAAGTGCAAAAACAATTAAGTTGACCAGTCTTCCTCATTGGTTTCTTTGGTGCAATGAAGTATATTAATAAGAGTAATTTGTGGGGGATAAAGTTATCACCACAAGGATTAATTTTTAATGTTTTTATATTTGGAAGTGTTAAACCAGTAGTTTTGTTGGAATGACCTTCATTCTTCAGATACTATCTGAATGTTTCAATAAAGATTCTTCAAATTATTACTCTTGAATTAAGTTATTGTTGAACGATGCTTCCCTACTCTCTTCACCTGTAACGATCAAAGTACTGTATCGAGCAACAGAACAAACAAACCCCAATTCTTGCTTCAAAGCAGCAGTGATTCCTGTGTAAGTAATGCAGAAAAACCAAGTTACTTCTGTCAAAATATTTTATTTTGAAAAGCACAGGACCACTCATATTTGTGGCCAGCAATATGCTTTTTGCAACAAATTGCTCTTCTTGCAAGCCCGTATTTCCCTAAAGCAGCTGTGGTGTTTGGTTCCAGGTTAGATCTCACCAGAACAAACCTGTTCCCACAACCCTTCTTCATTTTTTTTGTAGATGCGAGGTTTCCTATCGGGAAACAGGGAGCGAGAGGGAAACGGATGTTCTTTTAAAAATATTAATGTAGATCTAATGTGGGAAACAAAGTGGGGTGGCTCAGCCAGGGGCGATGTGGAAAGATTCTGAAAAACAAGATGATAGTAAGAGCTGCTTGACATTCAGAGTACAAAGTCCTCAATTATGCTGCCCTTTAGTCAGAGATTGTTTTCCCCCTCCCCAGCAGTACAGTGGGAAGAGTTTTGACAGACCCTCCCCCTCTCCCCACTTAGCTAGAAGTTTAAAGAAAAAGTCTGTTTCAGGTACCTGTAAAATCTGTTTATCATCTTGTTCCAACCAGAAATCCACATGGGGGAATGGCCTCCAGAAATAAGGCCCAATATGTAGTTGTTCCATCTTTGCATCATAAATGTTTGTCAGCTGTAACAACACAGGGAGCCTTAAGACTTAGACAGTGCTCACCCCCACGGAACAGACAGCACCCTCACTTCATCTGGAAGGACTTGAGCTGCAGCTTCGGTCGTACTGCGGGCCAGCCCGGCCCCACACACAGATTAACCAACTGTTCTGACAAACAAGACATTAAACTGTAACAACAAACCCAGAATTGAAAGATACTGCTGGGATTATGCCTGTGACCTGAATCTCTTTACATAAGTTCTCCTGCTGCAGGGCTGTCATAACAGCACATGACAGAGCTGTGTGTCCACAACACGGCTTCCCCCGGCAGCTGGGAGCTCAGAAGTGGTTTCATCTCCACCGCCATCCTTTGCCTCCGCTCCTCCATCTTTCTCACTTGTTTTGTTACTGACAGAACACTACCTAAATATTTTTTCCTCCAACTTTTGACATTTCATTGCCCCTAACTGGTCTCCCCTTCCAACAAAAATACCCTTTCTTCCTCTGTGATTTTTTTTTTTACTCACTGTTGCTCCTGTTAAAACATGGGCTGAACGCAAATCCTCATCTGGCCCTTTTTCTGGGAAGGTTGCAGGGAAAATCTCTGCTGTTTTAACATTGACAGCTGGTAGGAAATAGAGTTTAAAAGTAAAAACAATTAATTCTTACAAAACACTTGTTTAAAACGACCATGTTCCCAATACAACTACCTTGCAAGAACTTTAGAACATATCAAATATTATTCTTGTATTTCTCAGTACCACAGCCCCTTTGCCTGTGACAGCATTTTCAGAGATGCTTAAACTAATTAGAAAAAATACAGCATGAACAACAAAAAGAAGGTTGAATTCTAACCCCAAAGGTTAGTACAGTAGCGTGATGCTGGCCAGAGGCCTAAGTACAGTTAAACAGAAAGAATCTGCTTGCATTTGCACACAGCCACCTCCACGTGTGCATTGCCCCAACTGTGGGACCAGAAGAAAACTTCTATTTCTACCTACGCCTCTAACAGCAGCACTTAACTTTTAGGACAGGCTTTGCCTAGTCAGTAAAGCAGCCCATTTACTACGGGAATCTGAAAAGCAAACCAGTTACAAAAAACAAACAAACAAGGAATTCTAATTTAACTCACCTATTCCATAAATTACTGGAAAGTGAATATCCTTTTCTTCTCTGTCATTTAGTTCTGTAAGGAAAAAAAACAACCCATCACTTATAGGGCTTTGGAATTTTTTCTGAGCAGCATTCATTGACTTGTGTATTATCAGAAAAGATCTGATGTGGTATAAAAAAACCAAGGAAGCCTAAAAGGAACACAGAAAGGAAGGTGCAGGCCAATAGCAAGATGCCTGGGGTCTGGCGTAGAGCTCTGTCTCCTAAACAGCACAGCCAGCTCCAGCCAGCTGCCACCCCACTCCCTGCACAGGCAGGCTGCAGGGAAAAAACCCACAGTGCACAACTGTGACGATGCCAAGTTTCAAAGTTGTAAGTCAAGTCACCAACAGCGCTGAAATGCAAAGATGATGGAAATACGACCTGAAAGTGACACGAAGAAAAGGCAACGACATCTTCCTTTATGTGACATCACACGTTATGAACTGAGTTCATGAATTCATTCAAACCTGCAGGGAGGCAGGTCTAACAACCCAGCAGGTCTAACAACCCAGCAGGTCTAGTCTGTAAGTGCCCTTCTCCGTTGCCTCTGGCGATAACCATAGGTTCACAGTCTCATTTCACAGGACAAAGGTGGTAAAATAACCCGGTAATAACCACGGATGGTTCTACCATCAGTGGCATTTCAGGAGCCAGTGGTGAGGAGAGAATCCTCACTGCACTGTCTGTTTGACATCACCAGCAATAAAACTAAACATTACAAATCGTTATGGAGGACTCACGCTGTTCCTTCTTACAGGACAGATAAAAAAGCCGTGTGTGAAAAGACCTCTGCGCTTTGATTTCAGTGGCTAAGGGTACTTCAAAAACCAAGGAAATGTTTTCTTACCTGTCACGCAGAAAGTCACTAAATGAACATCATCTGGTTGGAGATCGAACGCTCCTACAGCAACAACGACAGCAGCAATGTGTAAGAGTGACTGGTGGCAAAGCAGGTGCTGTATATAGACGAGGGGGCATTATCAGTGCTGCGCACTGCGCAATAGGTGGGCAGAGAGAACCGAACGCACTGTTCCTGGATAAGGCAACAGAGCAAAGAGTGTTTTGCAGATTTGTTTCAAACTACCTTTTATAAAAGTAAAGCCACAGCTACTAAACACAGCAATAATTTACAGAGTAGCCATTTGTAATAGCAAAAAACATGCTAAAAAAGTGTTGTGCCACTTTCTCCTTTTACTGACACTGGTTTAGCTCTGGCATCACGTCAGCTCTGCTTTAGTTCACTAGACATTTATCAGCTTATATTTAAATGTATTTTCCTAAAATGCTACAGACAGTGAGCAATCCCAGTCTTTCACCAGCCCCACTTTAATTATGCTTTTCACCATCCCACACCCCAGAAAAAAACCCTAAATTTCTCTTTTTTTCAAAGTTCTAATAGCAATACAGCATTATTGTTTCAAATTGTAACTTGACACATGAAAATCAGAGGGTCAAAAAAAAATTAACCAAAATACTGTATTTTGTACAGAACTCTCATACAACACATAACACAGCATCACCCACAGGAACCATGAGGGTGGCCACGAGAGATCCCAAGATCTTTGACAGTTCCATTTTCCTTTTTGTCTAATCCCCCTGGGCCACCTCCCTCCAGTCCTGACATCTGCCCCTTCCCCATCCCGTGGGGCGAGGCCTCTCCACACTCCGGAAGTGCTTAGCACTAGCCAGAGCACTTGCAGGGTCTAAGCAGGTACCTTATGTTTCCAATTTGTTTGTAAAGCACCAAAGTCACCTCTCTGGACTATAGATTTTATAAACAGATATAATATCTGTCATCAGACAATTTCAAACAGTAATTAAATTTTACCTCATCACAATAAGGTACAAAATGAACAGTAACTAGTGTGGTCACCCACGTGCACAGATTTAGCCCGTGACACCTGACCAAGATCACATAGCATGTCAGCAGCAGAGCCAGGAATCAAGCTCAGCTGAACTGTGCTCCAGTTCTACACTCTAGAATATAAACCAGGAAGAAATTACAAGTTCAGACCCCCCATCCCACACACTGGCCATGCATGAGCCTCAGACCAACCCCTCTCCGCACCAAGTTCTCAGGTAGAAAAAACACCCTTCGAAACAAACCCAGATTTCTCTCCGTTAAGTGACAGGGAGCTCAGATTACAAACAAACTGCACCCAAATCCAGTCAGAACTATTTTTTTTTTTTTTTGGACATGAGAGTGGAAAAAACGTGAACTTACTAAGAAGCTGATTAGTAAGTTTTTGTGATAACTGCCTATCATCATTGAAACCTCCAACTAGGTGCACTTCCAGCCTAACAGAGATGGAATAACAGGAAACAGCAGTTAAAAAGACATCCCAAAGTGAATAGCTTTCCCAAACAATCCCCAGCCCAGACTGCACAGCAATCATTAGAGAAGCCTCACTTGTTACTGTCACATGCGCCCAGCTGATTTGCATTACACAGCAAGTTACACTGCAGGGATCATCCAGGAAACAGCACAAATTCAAAACCTGAAGAGGCATTCCATGCATGCAGCGCTATCGACCCACCATCTGTATCTCTGATGGTCAGCACCTCTGGTTTGGACTGAACTTAGTAACCACCCTTCAGTTCCCAAGAAAGGGTTAATTAAACAGGAAGAGTTTTACACCCATGATCTCAGAACTACTCTGGACCATACAGCCGGGTTCTTCTCTGAGAAGTGTCTATGTAAAGACAAGTCCTGACAAGCCATGAGCTTTTAGAGACTGTATCTTCTAAGTTCATTGAATTTTTGTTCTTGTCAAACTACAGGGGCAAAAACCCCCAAATCCAGAAAACTTTGTTTGCTGAATTCTGTTTCACAGCTTTTTTTTTTTTTTTTTGCTACCACTCTCCCTCCCTTTTTTTTTTTTTTTTTTTTTTTATGTGGGACTTAGAAAAATCACAGATGGATTCTCAGATGTCAGAAGAATTTACAAGACCAACAGTCTGAAAGGAAAAGTAGAACATAAAACCAAAAAAAGCTGTTTGGAAAATTCTGCACATCCAAAACAAAAGTCAACTGGGAAACAGTAGACACAAAACCTCACAATGGCATTTTTACAGAGACACTATTCAGAACAGAACCATGTTTTAAACCAATGCTAAAAATACCCTCAAAATCATCATCAAGGAAATCGTTTGCACTTTACATGTGGTTCCTGGTCAAGAGGTATTTCCTGCACCTTGTCTGAACCCTATGTAATCACAGAAAAAATTCCCACCTTACAAAGTGCAAAACCTTTGTGAAAAACAGAACACCAGAAATAAAAGAGCAGAGCTGACCTTCCATATCCTGTGGTGTTAGAGAAAGATTTTACTGAACTCATGATGAGTGACACCTCAGCTTCTGTGTCCGATCCATCGCAGTGTGTCAGGCAGGTAGCTCCACTACCTGAGAAAGACAGGAGACAGCTGACAATGTAGGAGGCTGTTAGGCCACTACAATTTAAACCAGTAACAGCTTACACTGCTATATCATAGTGCAAGAGCTACACCCACCACCTCCTCACTTCCCGTCAGGACAGCAGCCTCCGGCAGAAGACACAGGCTGACAGAACGAGGCAGTAACTTTGTGTGCCCCGTCACAACTTCACCAGAACACACACAAAGGGTACAAGTGCCCTCTTAACCAGGACCAGGCAACACCCTTAACGTCAGGAATCCAGCACATAGTGAGGATCTGACCACAACTTCTGCTGCTGTTATCAGCAAACCCTGCAGGCCCGAACTGATGAACACTGCCTCTGGCCTGATACACAGCCAAGGTCTGTAACTGCCACTGCCCACCCGCCACGGGAGCAGATCAAGTCTAGGATCTGCTCACGGAGCAGCCAGAACACGTAACCTCTGACAGTACACACGCCAACTCTTTGAACAAGTCATTCAGTCAATACATTGGTGACTTCTTGGGATTCAAGTTCATGTAAATGTAATTACAGTTTATTAATGCAGCATAAACCAATACTAATTCATTACTTCAGGGGTACAGGTTTTGTTCTGCACGTCCTTTAAAGGTACCTGTGTGTCGAAGCACAACTATGTGGCAGGTAGTTGCATCATCTGATCCAAGAATGGAAACAGAACCTGTTTTAAAGGAGAGAATCACTGTAAGAACTCTGTTCTCACAATCACTGCTTCAGCAGAAGAAAAAATGTTTATGTTCCTACACAGGAACATACCATCTTTAGGGGTAGTCACTGCAAATTCTCTCTGCTGGACATACAGAAGACCTTTGGGTTCCACAACTTGAACAGGCTGACTTCTTAGAAGTTTTGCCTTTTCCTAAAGATAAATGACAATAGAGACTACAGTGGCTGAATTCTCATTTGCATCCATTACTTGAGAGAAACATCACCTCTGAAAAGCAAAGGGAGCCAGGTCAGAGAGAAACATACATATTTTGTATTATGGAATATTCTGAACTTCTGAGACTTTTTAACTTTCCTGCCACTGATCTAGTTAATTGTTAAATCCCGTCATTCCATAAACACACAAAACCCTTTTCCCTGCTTTATAGATGATAAAACATAGGCACAACAAAAAGCAATAGGACTTGGCAAAGATTACATTAGACAATACCAGAGTAGATCTTCAAAGTTTAATCAGGACAGGAAACTTTTGAAATGTAAAATTTTCAGCCTTCTACTGCCACAATCCAGCATATTTATTTAGTAATTATCAAAATACCGCTAGTTATCAGCTCGGTTAGCACATGGAAATCCCACCTTCTTGGGCTGCGACTACTGCAGTGCAGTCACAGACCTGCTGGGTAGGCAGCGAATTTCCCTTTTGGGGCTCAAAAAACACTTCACAGTTTTATCAAGTTTGCACCGGTTTTCTACAAAAACTCAGTTTCCGTAAAGCAGCATTTTCTCATGAGCAACATCTTCCCAACCAGCTTCTTCCCAACCAGCTCAGCTCAGCTCGGCAGTTCCTGGCTCACAGTCCGCCGTCAGGATTACAACGTTTATATCCTGAACTGGGCTCAGCACCTTCCCCAGTTACAAGCGTGACTTTTACCCCCAGTTTTTGTTATTTCGCAGAGCAAGGGGCGGCCCGGCCCGGCCCCGGCCC